TGCATACCTATGCATATGTATAGATGTGCCCGTAGATGAACATGTGTGTATATAAATGGATCTCTTTAAATTTAAATAGATTTATGCCCAAGGGCAGGAAGGTGGATAAAAGGTCGTTACAAAGAGAGGAGATCCAACACATCTGTGCGCTCTTTTGTGAGGATTAAATCTGTAGTAGGCTGCATTCAGTGCTAATACTCCTATTAATTTCTATTTTTCATTATTGTTTTCACATTTGTCAAGCTTCGATGAAGGGATAATGAAGTAAACGGATGTTAACTGCAAATTAATCATCCCTGTCCTGATAGCGTAACACAAGTTCCTATTCACTTACCTTCATTACTTAGAAATAGCAACACACGTTACATATTCATAGCAGCAAAACCTGCTGGATTCTGCAAGATAGCAAAAAAAAAAAAAAAAAAAGAAAGGAAGAAAAAAAAGAAAGAAAAGACTGGCTTATTTCTAAAGAAAGTATAGATACTCATTGAAAATGCTAGTTTGAACTCCAAGAAAGAGCTGAGAAAGATGAGGGTGTAGCGTTGCAAGGGGAGCTTGTGGGAAACCATGCACAGGTTGGACCTATGGCTGTGTTTAGATATTGAAGGTGAGATGATTTGAAGGTCCCTTTTTTTTTAAAACTGGGGTGTGTTTCTTCTCTTTGGGTGGCAAGAGATAGATGTATTTGGCAATAGAGAGATTTTTTTGCAAACCTCTTTGCTTTGCTTTGGGACTTGGTTTCTCTGAGCCTGGTTTTGTGGTGGTATCGGGTTTTTGAGAGCTTGGAGGCTCCTCGGTACCTGTGTGAATGGGAACTGAGTTGGTGAGACCGTGGGCTCATTGAGGTCCTTCCAAGGGACTAGAAAGGGGCTGGAGGTGGGGATGGAGAGCCTCCAATCCCAATGATGTGTCTGCTCAGGGTGTCTGCTGGAGGCTTCGGGTACACTGCTCTGGGACAGCTGCTCCTGTAGATGAGCTTTTAGCACTCGCTTGTTTTCAGCTTGGACTTTGACTCAGGCAAATGTATGAATTTCTGCTCACGTGTTTTGCTCCCAGTCGGGTGATGTTGGGTTTTATGGTCTTAAAGATATGTGTTTCATGGTAAATGAAGCCATTCCTGGGGGAAGCAGCCACTGTGGGTTCATCTCAGAGATGCTCAGAAAATGCTCCAAGGTTTGCAGGCATCACTGCTTGTCTGGGAGGAGGCATCATACATCATTCGGGCATTTCTTAAAGCGATTTCTCTCAGCTTTTGTCAGTTCCTTTTTATCATATTCCTCTTTGCCAGTCCTTGGTACAGTCCTCCTTCTTTTACTGGTCACTTGAGAATGATGTTGACGCAGCAAGTTTACATACCTATCCCAACTTTACTTTTTGTCTTCCCAAATTGGATTTATCACTGGCCCTTCTTTTTTGAAATGCGATGTTTTCACACCAAAGAGTCATCTAATCATTGTCCAATGACACCTCTCCCAGGATATTGCCTTTCCTGTGATTTCCATCACATGTTTTGAGGCACCAAGTGACATTTTCCTGCATAACTTTCACTCGCCTGTTGTTCTGGAGAAACAGCCAGATCTTCACATCTGCCTGCCTCGTCCTGCCTAGCCTGTGCCTGCATCGGGAGAGCAGCAGACCTCTGTCCACAGACCCACTTTCTGCATCCAGCTTGTCTTGATTTTACCCAGAACCTTCCCACTGTCTCCCCTCCTCTTCTCTCTTCACATTCCCTTCTTTTTTTTTTTTTTTTTTTCCTTCTCAACAGGTGCTGACAGAACAATTTCTTGCTGTAGTTCTGTTGGATTTCAAAGGCCTGGATTTCACTCCTCACCCACCATCTCCGCTACGTGCTCTCCAAGCTGAAACATCTCCATTCATTTAGTAAGCCATAGAAAGAAACAAAGCAGTGGAGAGGGACATAAGTATGCCAGAATTCAGTGCTCTGACAGCACAGTTAACTAACATTGACCTCTGGCTACTTCTGTGGCTGCTGCGTAACGCTTCATACTGAGTGTTTCTTTTGTTTTGTCTCCAGCCCAAGAATTCATTTTTTAATAAGAAAATTCAGAAGTGCCTCTGAAGGGTATGGGCTCATGAGCATCACTGCTGTGTTGCAGACGTGCAAGCTTCACTCGCTCACATGGTCCACGGTCTCCAGCTATTTGGATTAATGAGGGTCCAGTGTAGTCCTTGCTTTCTCCTCTTGCGAGACGCATGCAATAGAGCCTCGGATCTGCCTTTGCCTCTTCAGGCATCTTCTCTGTGCCATCACGTGTGCACGCCGCTGCTTGGAGAGCCTTGGAGAAGAGGAGGAAAGGCTCTCAACATGCTAAGCGAGTGGCTGGTTTACTTTCCTCGTTGCTCCCATGGCTGGAGGAGCAGCACACTTCATGTGCCTGCCTCCAGTCCCTGGAGTCAGCTGTTAAATCCGGCACTAGCTGTTTGTTCTTGAAAGTCAGCCCTGCCTTGCTGCCTTTCGTGGGCCCTCTTCTGCTTTATATCTGTCCTTTTACCCAGGGGTTCCCTTGGTTGCCAAACTGCCTCTTCCCGTTTTCCTTTCGCCCCAATACCCACCTCTCCTGCAGGTGGGTTTTCTAGTTGCACACATCTTGGAGCCCCAAGCTTTCTGCCTAGCTGCCTCCCATCTCCTCTGTTGCCCGTGACTTGCTCCCTTTTCCCAGGACAAAAGGGAATCCCCATTTCTTGGCACAGATAACCAATTTGCTCCATCTCCAGCTATTGAAGAACAGAAAAGGAATTTGTTTCACCTGTGCTTGAGGGCTGAAGGGTGGTGAGTGCTCCTCCTAGTGAGGTCCCTTGCTCTCTCAGGGCAGTGGGGGGTGTGCTGGGACTCTCTGTTCTCAGATCTGAGCCCCACAATGAGAACTGATGCATGACACAAGCCATTGCACTTCTACTTGCTCCTTTGCTTGGCCTGGCTGGGTGCTGATTCCTCTGGCTACCCTGGAGCACCTTTATTTCACTTTGACCTTCACAAAGCCAGCAGTGCTTCGTCTGGGAAGGAGGAAGAAGTTCATCAAGACCCACATCTCTGTGCTCTTTCATGAGCTTGTCCAACCAAAGTAGCAGGGACCTGTGCCCCTTCCCACCCTGGGACTGGGATTAGGATGCAGTGGGTGCTGCTGCCAGAGATGTGCAAATCTGACCTTCCTGAAGTGTTTAGGATCCTAAATCACACGGGCTTATCAAAAAATAAAATCCAGGCTCTCAAGTGTCTCAAGCAGTTAAGCTCATTTTGTGGAGAGATGTGAGATATTTCTAAATGGAATCAGGAATGGAGGAAGCAGCTGGGTACGTTTTAATTCTAATTTTTCCTATATATCAAGCGTTAAATTAACAAGTGAGGGAGAACACTACCGAGGAGCTATCTGCTGTTTAGACAGGCATATCAGGATAAAATTACTCTGTGCTTGCCCGTGGTTTGTCTGGATACTCCTGGAACTGCACCAGTAAAGAGTATAATTGCACTGCTCTTCGAGGCTTCGGGTCTGTGCTGCGAATCCTCCCTGCCTTCTGACTACGCAAGGCTTGCTTGATGACGTGAGGTAATTATTCCCTGTAGGCAATTTCTAGCGAGGCAGGGCACAAAGCTCCTCAGAGGATGTGCTATCAGGAGAAAAGGGAGAATGGCTCAAGCAAAGGATTAATATTTTTAGCTGCAAAGACGGTTGGCTCGGATGTTTGTTGGAGAGAGGCTTTCCTTGCTGTGTTTCAGTGTGTGTTCCTAATTGGCACAGGAAAGACACTGCAGTTTAGAATATGATGCCTACTTCTGAATGACAGATATAATTCACAAACTACCTCGATATCATCAGCACTTTTTAAAGCATTATTTTTATTTTACAGTAGCGAGGATAAGGATCAATGCCATCGTTTTCAAATTAGAGCAAATGAGTTTAAAACCAGAGCCCTCCCCAGCATTGGTTGCCACAGGATATTGGGCACTGAGGGCTTTGGGTTAGTTCACATCCACATACATCACCTCAATGGAGCACCACAGGCACAGCTGGCTGTACCTTGTTGGTGCACTTTGAGTACTCGTGTCCCTGCATTCATATTGACTTTCACTGAAGCTCAGACATAAAATGCTTCGGTGCACCGAATATGATATTTTTTCTCAATCCAAGTCCCAGGAGAACTCACTCCAGGCATCCCCACTCAATGAAATATTGTCTCTGCCGCCAGGGAAAGCAATCTCTTGAGAAACAAGGCTGGATGTAGAGGAACGGATCATTTCCCAGCAACCTTTTGGTATTGTCAAACCTTCAATCTTTTGGCGATTTTTGGACTTGGTGACTACATCGAAATGGCCTTGGGCACTAAATGCTTCATTTCAATCAACATTTGTTATTATTCCACTTGCATATCTCAGATCATTTAGTGATCATTGTTCCCATTTTATAGATGGAATTGCTGTGTTGCCAATAGATACCTGGACAGCCTTGGAAGCGGGTGAAAGTCTGCTCTGGGTTGCTGAATTCTTTTTGCAATGCCTAAAGGATGCATGTGTGCATATGCCCTGACATTTGTTATTCAGGTTGGTAGATGTAGCAGAAATGCTGAGTCATGGCCTGAAGCAGTGACTGAGCACCTGGTGGCAGGCAGGGCCAACCCAGGGGAGCTCAGGTGCATGCAATGTTCTTGAGTGACTGGAAGGGCGGAACAGGATCCAGACCTTCCCAGACCTCATTTAAGGGTTGGCAGTGGAAGTGAGGGCATCTTGCTGGAGATACTTGCCTTCCTGAGGCCTTCTGAAGGTAAGCAGTTTGTGGTGTTTTTTTTGTTTTTTTTTTTAAATTATTATTATTATTTCCCCCCCCCCCCCCCCCCCTTCCTGCTTTGTTTCTGCACTCATGACTGCTGCACTTGGGCTTATCCTTGCTGCAGCCTGGGACTCTGCTACTTTGCTGTCATTACTGTGTTTTCCCACCATGTTGTAGAGTTACAGTAGGTTGTCACTTATTTTCCTCCTTTCTAAGGTCTTCTGAAAGTGAAGATGGTGGCTGCTGATGGGACGCACAGCTCTTTTCCTTGCTCCTGTTTCGGTGCAGTATCTAGTACTTACCAGGGCCGTGCTGGTCCTTAAGCCAGGAGCATCAGGGGCAGCCTCTAAGCTTGTGGTTGATGAATACTGTGACAATTAACACAAGAGACACAATAGACAGGCAAGAAAAGACAGGATTGGTTTAAATTCCTGGCTTACTCCTCGTGAGGTGGTAAGCTTATTTAGTGTCACATCAAACTCCAAATGGCCATTAGAGCTTTAGAGCTCATGAGATCATCGTTTTGTTGCTGTCTCCCCCAGGTCGTCCTTGAACTCGTTTGTTCACAGCTCCCAGTTGCAAAATCTCATAGGCAGACACAAATGTTTTCAGGAGGAAAAGCCCAGCTTTTATAGGCCAAACTTGGATTTTAATTATAAAACCTTAACTTCTGTAAGTTCCTATCCATCTAAAAGGATGCCAACATGCCTGCTCCTTATGGAAGGGTGAGTTGGGGCTGCCCTCTGCTCTTGCTCAGAAGGACTTCTCCTTTGAAGGGGAAGAAGCCTCAGAGACCACATTTGTCTGCAGTCAGCAACATCTTCTGAATGAACTAGAAGCTGATACATAAATCTAATCCACAAGTAAGTAGTGGGAGGGCACAATTATGCAGTAGGCAAATGAAAGGTTATCACTTACAGCCTGCTTCTGATTTTATTTTATTATTTTCCAGCGCGTTCCTCCAAAATCCCACATCCTGGACTGTATCCCACCAGTACTTGTTTTCCTTTCTCTTCCCAGAATGTTTCCATGCGCTATGGAGTCTCAAAGAAAGTAGCAGCAGGAAGCTTAGATTCCATTTCCCGCTCTGTAATGAAGCTGTCTTGCTAGCAGACTTTATATGACAGCATCCTGGTATTCATTGTAATGCTGGGGAGGTAGCAGCATCCCTTGGTAAGGATGTTACACTTTCTATCAGTGCTGGCCTCCCTGAAGCTGCAGCTGCAAATGTTTAACTTTTCCTTGGTATCTTCACTGATGTCCTTGGTTTCAGCCTTTTGATAGACTTATGGCTGGAAATGAGAATGTATTCTTTATGTCTTTCCAGCTCTTCAAGAAACCAGCACCTACCGAAGAGGACAGGACTGGAGATGCTGCCAGAAGAGCCACAAAAGCGTGATGCAAGCTGTATCCTCTTGCTGGGCTTTGGGAATTGCTTTCAGCTGGTTTTGTGCCACTCAGGCTGTTCCTGGTTAACAGAAAGCAGGAGGAGTGCCCTTTTGCCCAAGGTCTGATTTCCCAGGGGCTGCTGAGGTGCTAGCTGATTTTTATTATTTCTTTTTTTCCCCCTTGTTGCTGCACAGCTACCTGCATTCCAGTGTAAGTGCATGAGGATGTCAGCAACAGTCTGTATGCTGAAGGTGTATCAGTGTAATACATGAGATGGTTCTTTTTCCCCATCTCCTCCACCTCTGTGGGCTCCAGGATGCTGCCTGAGTTCCCCTTTGGACTCCAGAGTCCCATTGAGATCGTGTCTGCCATGTTTATGTGCCATTCTAATGCTGGTTATTGCAGCGTAAGTGCTTTTTAATGCACAGCATTACAGCAGGTGCATGCTGTACTCTCCCTTACCAAATGGCTGTCTGGAGGGATGTAATTCCAGCTTCTGCCTCAGCACGCCGTTATTTACAAGTGTGGTTACATGGCTTGTGCCACCTCTGAGCTTAATTTAGTTAATTTGGCACATGGTGTGAGAGAATCACCTTTGCAGAATGAGTGCTGTGATTCCCAGCTGGCTCAAGGATCCTGTAACTGCATCCCAGAGGTGACAGGACTTCAGAAGAGCATTCAGAGTGCAGTGGTGTCAGTAACATGAAGTCCCATCCCTCCTACATGTAAAAGTAGAGCAGGACACATGCAATGTGTGTCTTGGGGTGGCCAGGTCTGTGGTAGCACCTTGGCCATTGACAGAGTGCTTTGCTGTCTGGCCCCACAAACACTTTTGGCTATGGATTTGCAGATGTAGTTGTAGAATAAAATAAAGATCCATCTCATACTGGACTGGTTCCTATAGCCATGGACTGTTTCAGTGTGAAATTCTGCAGGGAGAGAGAGGTCGGCTGGAAGCAATACACCTAACAAAGGTATTCTGTGCTGATTTTTCAGAGGGAATGATCTATTCTGATGATGTTTACTAGATCATGTGTACCTCTTGCCCTCGGGAGCCTTCGTTGGTGTTGCTATCGGTACTGAGTGAGGAACTGCAGTGAAGTGCCATCCGTGCATCCAGTGTGTTGAGAAGACTCTGGTGTGGTGCAATGAGGAAGCAGGAGCTGATGAGTTTTAGCATGAGGATTCTCAGGGAACTTCTCCTGGATTGGTTGTAAGAGACAGCTCTTGTATAAGTGTCTAAGTGCTCCATAAGTTGCTGCTTGTGGCACTTCCCTGGCCCAGATTTGGTTGATGGGGGAGGGAAGAGGCTTGCCTGGCCTCCAGAGGCAGAGCTCAATTTCTGTGTCCTGGAGCAACATCTCTGGCTTCTATGTTGAAGGGTTCTTCCTGGAGAGATGTAGGAGCACTGTGTAGAAAGCAGCAAGACATACGTGGCCCTTGCAGTCTGAAAATGACTTGCCACAATAACTAATGTTGCAGGCACTGAAAAGGAGCTTCAGATACCTGGAAAGGAGAAATTCAGTGCAAAGAGAGCTCATTCCCAGGTCCTCCTCCCATCCAGAGGATCCTAAAAGCTCAGGGGGTGACTTCCAGGGGTTACCTACTGGTCCTGGCTTCCCCAGGAGCTACTTGAGATGGTTCAGAGTCAACAGACATTACCCCCTTTGCCAGGGTCAGTGGTTTCAGGGTCAGTTGCTGCTCATAGACCACCTTGTCCAGGTGGCAAGTGGGAATTTGGGCTGCTGCAGTGCAAGAGCTGGAAGATATAAAAACAAACAAACAAAACAGGTGTAAATAATATGTAAGTTTAATAGGCTAAAAGATCAGGAATTGTGCTTCAGTGAAAAGAAATTCCACTGATTACTTTTCTGTATCTATCCATGCTATCACTTCCCAATATCTATGTTTTCCTGTACCTGCTGTGTTGCTACATCCACAAGCAGCTGAATTTCAAAGGTGAATTTCATGGATGCTCCTGCAGGCAGTGAGGAGACCAGAGATGTGAGAGTGTCACAAAAGCAGCAGAGAAGCAAAACATCTCCTTTGGGCTCCTTTGGCTGTGTCTGCCTTTGTTCCAGCCCATGATCTGTTTCTTCCAGTGGTAAAGCCCTGCTGGATTGACCACAAGTTGCTCCAGCCCTGGAATCAGTCAGAGCCCTATGGGGCTATGGGAAAGGCTTGGTGATTGGGAGCTTTCTGCATTGAAGGCAGGCAGGGTGATGATGTTCATGGCTTCATCTAGGGCTCCTTTTTCTTTGCAGAGAACTCCTGCTTGCTCTGCCAGCTTGCAGCACTGATAAGAACGTATTTACTGGCTTAACTACTGAGATCTCTCCAATGGAGAATTTAATCTCGGGGCATTGCTGTCTCATGTTTTCTGTGTCTTAGGTGCTCAATAAATGTTTGCTAAAGTAATTTAGTGTTCTCTCTCAATCAGAAAATATAGAACCGTGTCAGCTATCCAATCACACACAGATTCAATAAGGCAGGGTGAGGAAACACTGAAAGCAACTCTGAAGAACAGGCTTGGAGCTGCCGAGCTTCTCAGGGTGATGGAAATATTCTGTTAGTAGAACATTGTAGGAAGGAGGTAAGTGAGAGCTATGGGAAGACATTCTACAGGGGAATGACATCACGCTGAGTTACAGGTTACAAGCAGATGTTGTAGTGTTCAACTGCTCCTCAGAAGCATCTGCCTGGCTGCCCACTGCTGGACACAGTGGAGCTTTGCGTCTCTCATGTCTTGCAGAATTAATGAACTCAATGTCCTCAGAGATGCTGTCTTTTGCTGATGACCCTCACAATGGAATCCTACGTGGCACCCTGCAACCAGGCACGCTCATCTTTCTGTTGTGTCCATCCTGCCCTTGGTACTCTTTCTGGGACGGATCCCCTGCCTCCTTTCTGATTTGCCCTCTCCAGATGTGTGATGTTCCCTCTCCTTCCAGCCTAACGTGCCACTGTGTGGGTCTGTTTCCCCCTTGACAGCAGGTGCAGCCTCACAGAATGAAGTGCTCTGTGAAGCTTTTCCAGCCCCGATGCATCTCAGATGGGTGACTTTGAGTGCTAGGATGAGATGTCCCAGGTTTGACTGGAGCTGCTGTCATCATGGTACCATGGAGCCCAAATGCAGCTGTGTTTTTTCATTCCCTATGAAGTGTAATTCATCCACACATACCACAGAGCATTTCCATTCTGCCTTTTCAGGCTTGGGTCAGATTTAATACAGTCTATGAGAAAGGCTTAAAACAGCAAGGTGGAAGATTGAATTATGGTCTAATCTGCCACTAATAGAACCTGACCAGCTTCATTATTCAATGTCAAATCACTGCACTTGCTATTAAAACAGAGTGTGAACTTCCCTAATTTCTGTCGGACTGGGACCATATCCATCATTCTTGCCTGAACCGGCACCAGGGCAGTGCAGATAACACAGACAAATTTAATATGGTAAATTCACTTTAGGAAGCTTGCTCTAGCAGTGCTGGTAAGGGAGGGGCTGGGCAGTCCTGGGAGGAAAAGGATGGATGAGAACAAGCTGCAGTTTGACATTGCAGGGGCAATGAAATAGCGTGGTGGCTCGTTAGGATGGGAAGGTCTGTCTGGCCATGGTGCCCTGACTGTGTGGCTCAAAAAGCTGCTCAGAGGAGAGGTGGCAGAGAACTGACCAGTCCTGTGTTCTGGTGCAAAAGGGAGTGGGAACACATAACCACAGTGTCTAGATGTGCTGGTAATGCCCTTTTCTTGCAGCCCATTACACGTAGCAGCATCTTTTTCATGTGCTGTAAATGTCAGTAAACCAACTCCTACTTTCTCTCCAGTGATGCCACCTCCAGGAAGGTGGAGGTGTCATGTTAAATTCCTCACATTGCTCCCTGGTTGGCTGCAGCCAATATGCTGTGTGGGCAGAAACTCCTTGGGAAGGGACAAATTGAACTGCTTGTTTGCAGCATCCCGATTTGACCCAGAAAGTCATCAGCAGATAGATGAAGAGTTAAACATAGGCCTCCTAACCTGGTTTAGCTGTGACTCACGTCAGCTCTCACTAGAAGAGGTGAAAAGCAAGAACACTCATTTGTTGAAGCACCAGGCTATCTTTATGTGTCATCTCTTGCTTTTCTGTCTTTCTTCTGTATCAACCTTAATTCTAGAAGTACAAAAACGTGAAAGTAAATCTCTACCAGGTCAACCAAAATAAGATAAGTAGAGAGATGAGCTCCAAGGCACACTAGAGGCACTTTAAACCATAATAACCATTTTCAAGGGTAAACAGAGTCTGACCACAATGGAGATTAACAGAATTCATTAAGGAAAAAAGGACTTGTCATTACTAGGTCTAATGAGTTGACACTGGTGAAGAGGGACTTGTCACCATGGAAACAACAAATATTAGGAAAGGAAGATAAACAATTCTAGCTTTATCTGTCCACTCTCTCCTCACTGCTGGTGTGAGTCCAGCCAGCAGGTCTGCCTTTAGAGTAGTAGCTGTGTCCACTCATCTTTGCCTTCAGCATATCTCCTTCATTGTAATGACTAGAGACAAGGTCTTTAGTACTCAGCTGGCCTTCAGGCAAATATACCCCCTAGTTATAGATCCTCGTTTGCTGGTAAATGTTCCCTATCTTTATTGATGCTATCGGAGCTGCCATTTATACATTCACCTGGCACAAAAAGATAGTTGTTCAGGAATGTATTGTGTTTGCATCTCAGAGCATCACTCACATCCTGCTGCCATGACCAATGAGAGCCTACTAGAGAATTTGGGTGATGTAGTAGACAAATACCAGGCTTACACATGCTGGTAGGCTTCACAAATCCTCCCCATGGGCAGGTAAGGAATGGAGCAGGTGGCAGAGATCGAAGGGTGATGGAGACATTCTCCACCGCCATTTCCAAAGGAAAGTCACATGGGACCAGTAGCAGGAGCTCAGTCATGGTATTAAGGAATCAGACTCTAACAATATTAAAGACACTGTCATGGATGTGTCCCCACAGTATTTAGGGACATGTCAAGAGCAAGGGGACAGGCTGTCTGGGTACCTTACTTCCAAGTTGCAGCTCCATCGACACAGTGATTTCATGTGGAGGCACAAGGAAAACTCCTTTATTAAGCTCTAGGAGCAAAGATAGCCCTGCCACGGAGGAGCATTGCTTAGGGCTGGACCTACCTATGCATCCTCTGGAAAGCACAGACTATCAGTGACTGAATGGTGCAGACGTCAGGGGACAAGGGAAAAATTCTGTGGCATGGGGAATGTTATGAATATGAGTGATCCATGCTCAGATGTACAATTTGAAATTCCACAGGCACTCACCTAAGGCTGTCCGAAAGGAAAAGTTATAGGGTATGGGTAGCACAGGGGCTCTTTGCCCAAGCCCATCTGGAAAGTAGTAACATCAAATTAGAACAGAGTTTTGTGATGCTCCTTAAAGACAAAGCATCCCTGACACCTGCTGAATCCTTGTGATGAGTTCGTTCAGGCATAACTTTTGCTATGATTGGGATGAGGAAGTCAGCCAAATCCCTACAGCCAGAGCATTGGGAGTTGATAAACTGTGATGGCTGCTGTACCAGTGCCCAGTGCAGGTAAATAACAGAATCACAGAATCACCAAGGCTGGAAAAGATCTCCAAGATCATCTAATCCAACTGTCCACCTACCATCAGTATTTCCCCACTACACCTCCACCTTCACTGCCATCAGCAGGTGAGGGATTTAATGGTTTCTTCCAGATCTTTAGGAGGACAAGGGAGGTCACACGTAAAATAGCAGCCCTTAGCAGCTCACTGGAGAGCCATGCTACAAATGGGCACAGAAAATGGGTGAGAAACACTCATATCCAGCTGGTCTGCCCAAAGGTTGAGCATGGTATCACGGCAGTCCCTGACGAGGAGATGACAGAATTTCTGTGGCATATTGTGTGGATCAGAACTCAGAAAGGCTTCTTTTTTTTTCTCCAGCC